TCGTCTTGCAGAATGTTTATAGATTTAGAAACTTTACAAATTAAGAATTTAATAATTTAAGAATTTAACAAGTCATTCGAGAATTCAGAAATTGAAGTACTAAAGAATTGGTAAACACAGAAATTTGAGATTAAGAAATTTGGAAACGTAAGAATTTGTGATTGTGTATGAAGTTAGAATAAGGGCGTTAAAATTTGTAGGACCATCCCTGTCGGCCACTGGCGCATTTAGGGACTTCCGGACCACGCCGGAAGTTCCGTCATATTTGTCACCAAGCTGTTATTAACGGGGAGTTTTTATTGTTTCGGTATGGTAGGGGTAGTGGACGAAGAAGAGACTACAAGAACTATCGTTTCTCTTCCGTGGCTATTAAATTTAATAGCCAATATCTCCCCTATTGCCGGCACTTTTTATGCCTTTTATCCCTTTGCGATTCTTTCGAGATAAAACTAAGTTGATTCGCCTGATTTTCTTGAATGCCTCATTGCTTCTTATTAATTTCAAAGTAAAACAAACAATTCCTCTTTTGCAAATGAGGGTCAATTAGCAATAAGATTTCTAATTTGTAGTTCGCTAAATTATTCAGAAATATAGTCAAAGATTTCAAAAATTTTTGTTTTTTGCCTTTTTGCTAAAGCATTTTATTATTTATGTGACTCTTATGAAGTAATGTATAATAAAAATATATTATGTTTACATTTATTTATTGATGTTAAAATATAATATAATTTATTATTTATAAGAAGGTGTAATGTAATAAAACATAATATAATTATGTTAATATAAAATGTAAACAAATAATAATTTATGGGTTTTGAAGTCAAATCACAATTTTCAATATGTAAATCAGAACTGTATAAATACATTTTCTAATTTTAAATAGCAACTACTAACTTTATCCATAGATTCTCAGAGAAAAGCCTTTCTTGTTCAGATTCATATAAATAATTATAATGAGGAATCAAAATGTTTAACTATAACTAAATGTTCAACTATATTTTTCTGTGTTTAATTATTGCATAATTATGCTGTTCAATTACTTTATAATAAAACAATTCTAACATACAAAAAATATGAAAATATTAATTCAATAAAAATTATATCCTTAAAGAAATTAATGACTGGTCGTTCAAGAACTATTTAAAAATTTTTCACTAATTTAAGCGTCATCTTTTACTTGAATTTGAAGAATTGTTCAGTAATATCCCTATGGTAATTAACACGTTTAATAATGGCGTATATTATAATCCTGATACCGTCACCGTAGCGTGGCATATCTCACCGTGTAAAACAACGAAAGATCGTAATGACATCCGCTACGAGACAGCGTGTAGACAACACGAAGAAGCGGCTGAAATGACCCACAGGATAAAGTATCTCGAAACCGAGCGAGGTTCCAGGTACAGGCTTATTAATAACCGATTCACAACTCGAGCCCTTGTCTTCGTTTGCTGACAACAGTGAAGTACTGCTTGCAAAAATTGCACGATCGCGTTCCATAGCGCGATAAAATGGCGATCATCTTAACTGCAGCTTCGAAACAACCGACCTTCGTACATCGAACGCGTAACTTCGCCAATTTTTCCCCGGTGAAGGACACCGAGATAACGACATCATCAATCCTGAACTGTACTGCACCCGATAAGAGAAGTATCATGTTGAAGAGCGAAAAATAAGATGGAAATTATCTCTGGTGAAGTTCCGCTCGTACAATTTCTCTTGTAACGCTTTGCGTGTGCGAGGTAATTCGAAATTTTGGGGAAAGGCTCTGATAAAGAGATAATGAAAAATAAGATTTCATATGTAATACTAACAAATTATTATTAAAATTTGTTACGTGGTAATTTCGGAATATCGAAATTTGGAAATTTGAGAATTTTTCTGTGTTCAAAATTTAGGATCTTGAGAATTTAAACGTTAGAAATTTCACAAACACGAAGATTTGGAAATGTGAGGATCCAGGAATTTGCATTTACCGAAATTTCCCAATTTTGAAATACGAAAATTTAATTTGCAAATTTGAAAACTTGAGAATCTCAGACTTTGAAAATTTAGTAACCTAAGAAAATCTGGAAAAATCCTAAAAAGAACCTAAACTCTTCCTCTCTGTTAATAGAATCTCATATTATACCAAAAGGTTTATGAATTCAAGCATAGTTACATCAAGTAAAAAAAGATTAACACGGTGTCGGAAGTACATCAAATTATGCGTCGTAGATTTTGATATAAAAGACGACAAACGATCCCGCGAGGTGAAGTCGCGAGGAAGAAGGTAAAGTAAGTAGAAGTTGGGTGTCGGGTCGCATCTGGTATCTGCAATCAACACTCGCATGGTTCCAGTGACGTCACGTCCGGCCATCTGCCGAATAAGCAGAAACCGCGTAACCGGACTCTATCTGCGGGGAACGATTTCGAAAAAGAAGGAGCTGTCGACGCGAAGCACGTGTCTCGTGGAAAGAACATGAAGGCGTGGCAAAGTTATAATCCAAACTAATTTGCTTCGACAAGGATAATCTCCAAATTTAAGTGATCATTGTATTTCAAACTTTAGTACTTCGAATTTTTAAGTATTATTATTTTACTTCAAATGACAAAGTTACTTGTATATTAAAAATTAATGTAAAATACTTTAGGTATATTCTGAGTCATGCTACTGGATTAACATGGCTGCCATGTGACCAATTTAGTAGACTTATAGTTATTACAAAATACAAGCTTATAACATTACTATAAACGTACATAAGAATAATACAAATATAACAATAAAAATATAACAATAATACAAAATATCAATTCATAACATTGCCACAAGTATTTTAATTACTTCAAGCTTTATAAAATTGCATCTGAAACCAGAAATGCTGATGAGGAAATTATTAAACAAATCTGTAATGATGAATTCTATGAAAAAACCGATTAAAAGCTGCGATAAATGTTGCATTAACGTACGAGTGTACACTTAATGAGTTAATTGTCGCTTAAAAGTATGATTAGTTTATCAAATGTCAATGTTTTTTGTTTTTTAATAACCTTTAACGCGGTAAATAGTTTATCGCGAGTTTATTACAATGTGTCACACTGTTGTATAACTATCGTTGTCTGTTATGACTTCACTAGTATTATATACAAATTGCATTTTTAATTTCTGCGTTGCAACGCGTGGCGATATAACAGCTGGAAGTATGCGTGACTATTGAATGATGATACGAGAGAAAATACTACTGCAAATATATCGTGTAGCCAATATCACACATGGCAATAACGGTTTGCGATGTAACTTGTAACTAAATATTCAACAATGAACTTTAATTCGGTAAAAAAGATCAACCCTTAATCGATATATCGCTATAATGCACGAAAGATCATCCAATAGTGGTGATATAAGAATCTACAGTACGAACGAAATGAATGACCTATTGATCATGTACATCGTCAAGGGTCGAAATGAAATCACGCACGAAAGAATCGGTGCAGCCAGTACGAATGGAAGGATGGTAGGGCAACGAGATTGGTGAATCAAGGCAGGCCAAAGGGTTGAGAACAAACATCGTTAATTTGCACGCAGAATCCCGCTGGCTGAGGCCGAAAGGTCAACATTAACCGCGGTATGTATATGCTCGTCAAATACTCTGCACTGGACCGTGTAATCCAGATTCGCGTTACCCGACTACGGTTAGCTGAAGTTTCAGTTGCTCTCGCGCTCCCTGCGCCCTTTCAGCCGACCTAATTGTCTAATTGGCAAATAAATCCCATTGTTTTCCAATGGTGCGATCGATATGTACACCACTGGGAAGACTTTTGTCCGACCGATGAAAATCGACGTTATGTGCTCTCTTTCAGAGCATCTTTCGGCTGCACTGTGTATTTGACACGGTGGGTGTCAACCGCTTTATATGCCGAATCTTTTGTAACACCCCTTTGTATTACGACCTCTGTTATAAAGTGGACACCAAAAGGTCGATGATTTCTAAAGGACCACGAGAGCACAGGCTGGCCTTTCTATTTGACTATCCCAATCGAGTGCAAAATATTTCATTAAATATTGAATCGTTCTCATTTTAGATATTTACATCTTTGAAAATTTCATAATTTATATATTAATATATTATGATAATGCATTGCCAGTTTCAAGGATTTTCCATTCCGTCGGAGACAACCAGAAGATACTCCATTTTGAAACTCAAAGTAACACTTCAGAATTTTATAAAAACTACCAATTACAAGTTTAATTTAGAAAACCAAAAAAAAGTTTATAGTATCACTATTTTCATTCAGTCTGTTATTTTCAATTATAAATATCTAAGAATTAAAACAAATGACAAGATGTCATAATGTATGTTATAATTTTGTGTAGTGCTATACATCATTGGATAGCAACTTCCTTTTATAACATCTCATTCTTAAATATTTCATTTTGAGCTAAAATTATTTTCTGATTAAATTTTCTTTCTCTCTATTTATATTGCCAACTCAAACGATTTGTGTATTTTTTGAAAATATACATGTATAATATTTGGAAGGTATGTAGTTGATAAGGATCAGGTGATTAAACTCACGTGAACAAGGACGAAACACAGGAGGATGGTGAACTGGGGAGAGGTAGAGTTGAACGATTATCAGACAATAGTTTGTTAGTAGGGTTCACCTGCTGTATTGTTCTCTGGAAACGTGGATTCAGCTTCAGCCCGCAATCGTTCCTTCTCTGCATTTAAATCGTTCGATATGTACAACCGATAGTCTGTCGCGTGCACACTAATTACATTCAAGTATATGTACTTAGCTTTTAATTATTTAATCGTTTCCCTACCTTGAATTCTAAACGAGCTCTTCGCCCATCAGTTTCTTCTCTTTTCTACATTCATTAGCAATTCATTTTGAGAAGGTCACTTATGTTACAATTGCAGACAATTTTATTGCTGTTCATCTAACAAAAATAATAATAGTTATAATCTTATTAAACATGATTCAAGGTATAAATATAAAATATATCACCGTGTTAGTACGTTTTTTCTTCTTTTTATATATTAAGATTAAAAATAAAATTATTAACTGTTAACATATAACGCGTTTTAGAATATACAATATATGATCCATTATTTACATATTAAATTGTGCATATATACTGTACATATTTTTCGCAAATAGCATGTGACTGAATGTTCATATTAAAACGTATAAATCACCATTTCGCAAATACTCCGAACACTTCGATAATATCTAATCAAGCAAAATATGTAGTATCTTCCTGATCACATCACGATTGAAACAACATTGCTGTGGCGACAATAATACAATTACTGGCGAAGCAAACAGGTACAATTCCTTAGTACTGAATTAATGATCAATAGTTAACCATTTGTCCGTAATTTGCTCTATCTGCTTCGTGAGAATTGGATTTCTTAGTCGTATTTTCAACTCAAGTTTCCCACCTGTTGCTTTTCTTCCGTCCATCAGCTAAGATAAAACGAAAACTCTTTAACTAAAGTTTATTTAAATTATTGTGTTTATGAGAAACCGATTATTTACCGGAAATGAATCATGAAGTTCGCATTTACTTTCCAAGGGTTGTAATTTAACCGTTACTGTACCTAAGAGACTATCACTTCTGAAGAATCCGCTGAAAAATAAAAATAGATATTATACAAACTTAATTGATAAACATGCATAAAACATAATTGAAAAGCTGAAATAGTAAAGACAACTACTAAAGTGCAGTCTTGCTATATGATTCTCTTTTATATGATCTGTCCATAGTGCACACAGAAATTTAAAAACCACAATTTTCCATATAGGACCATATAGCGAGATTTCACTGTACATGAATTACGTTGTTACAGTTTGCTCGTGTAATACAAATATTTTAGGCATCATGGAAGAATCTATAATGAGACATTTTAACAAAGCTGAAATGAATAAAAATGAAGGAAACTAAATAGCCAGTAATGATACAAAAGTAAAACAGCACATTATTTGTGGCGTACAATACTGAATACTTTGTAGAAGCACGAAATTTTCATACCTTGGATTAGTGCAACACAGGAACGGATTCAGCGAGCATCTGCAAGCAACGTACTAACCTATTTACTATTTTTAACGTTAAACCAAGATACATAATATACACTTCAAATATTACTTATATGCAATACTTAATACCAGTGTTACCATTGGGAATTTAACTATTCTTCACTTACATGGTTAACAAAATTGTGTAAATTTTATACAAATAATCTAAGTACACGAAATACAGATAAATATTGAAACATGGATATACATTTATGTGGATACGGTAAAATATTGTAGAAAAATTAGTACTAATCATATTATTTGTTTCATTACCCTTTTGCCCAAACTTGACATTTTAATGCATGTCTTTTGAAAGCTCGTTGACACTGTCTTGAAGAACGATCTATTATACCGGTCAACGGGAAAACTGCTTGGTATTCTGGATTGCAAGTTCCTTTAATAGTAGCCGTTCTATCGGCTGGAGGATTATCCGATGGATAAGGGAACTCAAACATGACATATGTATCTCCTTCTTTTGAATAATTTACTCCTCTTATTATTGAAATTTCTACGTCACCATCGCTTAAGTCTGTACAACTCCTATAAAATAGAAAAATATTGAAGGTTATAAAATGATATTAATTGTTTCACTGTCATTGGCGTAACTAGGATTATTACCTAAAAGTGATCAGTTTTGTGATGGACATAACCTAATGACTCAATGAACAGGATCAATCTATATTTTAATGTTCCAAAACCAGTCTTCTGGCTTCAACTTAGTTACGCCAATGATTGCTGTTAGTAGCAAGGGAAAGAATGATGTACTAACTGAACTATGGCATAAGTTTTCGTTTCGTAATGATGTAGTGGGGGTGGTAGTGCATCACGTTTCCGAACTCTTAACATATCTAAATCTTTCTTATAACTCAATGCAAGTCGTTCCCATCTGTTATATCCAGGTACATCTCCCAATGCTTTTGAATGATCTCTTGTACATAAACACCACTGTAACAATAATCCAAAATGTGTTAAGTGAACTTGGTTAAAATGTATATGTTTACTTTACCTTAATTTGCTTCATTAATTGCGATTCAAGATTTTCATAAATTTGTTCATCTGTTGCTGTTGCTTCCTCCAAACCATCTTCATTATTGAGTATCACGAAAGTGTCATCTCCCGAACTAGTTATGCTATCGTTTAGTTCAATCTTTGCACGAGGTGATAGTGGTATAGAACTCATGTCAACTGGTAATCCAGCTACACTGGCTTCAATCAAAGGATCCATACCTTTCGCTTGCCGTAAATAAGTGCGTGCCAATTCTATGTCTCCGTCTTTTTTTGCATTTAGAGCAGCTTGCTTTAATTCATGTTGACGCTGCTGCAATAAAGCTAGTTGTTTGTCCGCGCGTGTTACTTTCTGACTTTGCTTCTTTCCTATTAGGAAAAAATTATTGTCATGTATGAAATAATACTGGTATTTGGTTTTTAAAATTGAAACCCTTTTTACCTCTTTGTGCTCTTGGAGGAGAAACCGGACTTTTTGGGCTTGGACTACTTTTTTCCTCGGGTGGTTCAGAATCTGGAATTGTCTGTGGTGTTGATTCTGGTTGTTCTTCACCTTTTTCCACTGCTGGAACAGGTGTACTAGATTGTGTGGCAACAAAAAGAGGTGGAAAACCAGGTGGAGTTGGTAATTCATCCAAAGGAACAGGTTTTCCCCGAGCGTGTAATTTAAGGGCATCTTCGAATTGCTTGCAAATACGGCCATATCTGCGAGCTTTCGAAGAATTTCCTTCACTCTCTGCAGCAGTTTTTGTTCTTCTGTACACTTCAAGTCGTTCTTTCAAAGCCAGTTCTAAATTTTCTACAGTAGCTGGTTTTACTTCGGCTTCCCCAGTAGGTTCTAAAACATTACAATATTTTTAGTTAATTTACATACATCTAGAGATTTAATAATAAATTAAATAAAATAAATTTTGTTTCATTTATATTTTACCTGCAGATGATGTTCCTTGGGTTTCATTTTCTACTTTTTCTGTTTTCTCAGGTGACGCAATAGGAGTATTTGATTCAGGGGTATTTGGAGGAGGTGGCATATCTGACAAATCAACTGTATCTCCTGCTGTTACTGCTGCAATTACTATATCAAACTGTTTTACTACACTTATATATTGAAGAGCCTCTTTTATGTTGCCTGCCCTCTTCCACGCTACTGCTGCCACTTTATATTCTTGCTGTCTACTTTTTAATAATTGTAATGCTTCTTCATCTATAGTTTTTGCAGGAACAGGTTCTTGGGGAGTATTGTTTTCTGTTTCTGTAATAGTTTCAGCCGCAGGACTGTCCTCTGAGAAACAAAGACATAATATTTAATATAAATTATACATTATAAATTATACTGGATACAAATTATATCCAGAGAAATAACATATTAAGTATTGCTTCTTGATAATACCTGGTTTTGATTCATTACTTTGTGATACTATTCCTGTAGCAGATGAAGGCAATGGTGGTGGTATATCATTTTCATCAATATCTTTCTCTTCTTGTGCATTATGTATTAGTTCTTTAAGTGTTTTAATTCCTCTTCCAAATCTTCTTGCTTTTCCTGGTTCATTTTCTTGCTTAGCTTTTTTCTCAGCAATTTGATACATTTTCAATCTCTCTTGTAAGAATACAATAGTATTGTGTTTATTATCTCCCTGAGATTCAGATTGTTCTGTACTTTCTTCTACTTCTGGAGAAGCTTTTTCATCAGATTCATCACCTGTTATCATCTTGAGCTCACTCTAATGTAATATAAAACATCTAAAATTATTTTACATGCAATTATATCACTTAACAGAAGTAAATAAGAAACAATATTTTTATACCAATAATTCTGGATCATCTTCTCCATCAGATATATCTTCGTCATTTATATCTTTTACACTTTCAGCTATCATCGCATCTAAATCTGCTTTAGGAACTGGTTTACGGACTGCTACAGAAATAATATATATATGTAAATAACATTCAAGATGATTATCTTGCTAGTAGACCCTAAAAGAAGTGCTGCTAAAAGTATTACTCTTCTGTGCTCTAATAGCTACAGATGGAACCGGTGAATGTTTACCTCTTGTAACAAATCAAAGATTACTCGAGCAATGCATATGTCACTCTCTATTAAAATCTACTAGTCACAGAATCACTTTTTATAAAAAAAATACTACTTTACCTCTTTGTTTAGGTCTCGGAGTACTGTCATCACCCGTTGTTAAAGCTGCTAATTCAGCTTCTAAATCATCATCATTATCATCATCTCCCATGAAGTCATTGCCTAAGTTATCAAAAGTTTCTGGGACTTCGAAAATTCCATACTGTTGGAGAACAGTATTTTAATGCAGGAAAAATCGTACAGAAAATAAGGTTAAAAGTACTGAAGAAAATAATACCTGTGCAAGACTACCAGCAGGCCGTGTTTGCCGTTTTGGTTTCTCTTTCTTTGAGAACATTTTGCTTTAAAAAATTTGTACCGTCGCAAATCAATTGATTATAAGTAGAATATCAGGAATATTAAAGTGGATAAAGCATATCACAATCATAAAGCACATCGCAGTACCGCACCACTGGGTATGCGTCATCTATCGCTTAACAGCAAAAGTCATATATATAATACAGAATACATTTTAAACATGTGTAAATAATTTCAATTATTTGAAGAATATAAGGATATACAAAAGAAAAATTAATACTAGTCTAATAATTTGAAAAACTCATAATTTTCAAGTAATGTAACATTTATATTATTAAAGGAAGATTAGCACTTTTTAAATTTGTAACATACTATTTTATACATTTATGCATTTTGTTTAATTGAAACTTTTAAATAATTTAAACGTTTTGTTCCCTTTTATAAGAAACAATTGTTTTAAAACGTCAAATTTGAGTGGAACATTTAGAAGTTTAAAAATTCGATAGTCATTCGAGATATCTAAATACGATCATTTGTTCAACAGAGATCGTACACGTTTTGCGCAACTCAACTAACTTCAATAAATTTCCCACTATCTAATGATGTTCCACCGCTATACACTTTTTACTTCAATGATGATATACATAGGAGACAAAATATATGAATAATAGAAAGAATTTTTTAATTGTTGAACTTTCAAATTTTGGAATCTTGAAACTTCAGGGCTTTGAGACTTAAAGCGGTTTGCGAAGAATGACTATTCCACAAAATGGATTTCGGCTTATAAAAATTTGTAAAATCTTGATATATAAAGGAGACAAAATAAAAGGTCACTGAGTATGCACACTCGGTGTTAGTACGCTTGAGCAGCACTCGTGATTATAAAATGTTCTTGAACAAATCATCATTGACATGCGCAGAATTAATATAAACTTGTTGTCTCCTAAGTATGATCAGGTATTAACAATTTCTGTCCCTGATTTGCTCTGCAAACACTACTGTGGAGATAGCATTTACAAATTATAGCATTTAAACAAATTATGAAAGATGAAATACTCATAAACAATATTTAAATCGGTTTTTCTATATGATAATTTGTAATAAACGAAGTATTGTTTCATTGTACATTATAAGTTTATATTATAACCCTTAAACTACGAAGTGCGGAGTTAAATTAACTGGAAATTTACATAAATGAATAAAGTTATACAACGATTTTATAATCAGTAAATATCATTTAAAATAATTTCAATAAATAACAATTGTTCATTTATTCTTATGTATTGTAGATGTATGGAGTATGAAATTATTTAATGTATTATCTGTAGTGAATACTCTTCAATTACATTGGATATTTGATGAAATCATTAATAAATTCAAGGTCTTGGAATTACCCTATCTCCTGTTTGTTAGCCACGTCAACCATTATCAGTATATATAATGAGAAAATACATATAACTATTCCAGTAGATTGAATCAGTCGGGTAGAGTAGCATCATTTATGTGATATCTGGTATATCTCAACACTTTGTTACATTATAAATGCTAGTATTTGAATATTTTGCTTGTGTTTTGTTTATAATCTGATAAAATATTAAAATTTAGAATATTTATTATATATGTACATGTTTCTAACATTTGAAAAATAATATACACATATAAAATTTCATTGTGAAATTTATTTTGCAGATAATGTTTGATAATGGACCAAATGTGTAAAGAACCTCATCTTAACATAACAATAAATGAAAATGAAATTGTTGATGGTGCTAAAGAAGTAATTAAAAGAATAAGACCCACATGGCCAATGAATAAGTTGCATTTTAAGGTAAAACTATAAAAGTGTTATGAAATATATTATAGACTTATGTAATATTTTAATGTATACATAAGTACATATGTACTTTATAAAAATTTAATTCAATATTTATTTTTGTTTTGTACTAATAAATAGAATATGAGTTGTACTTATTTATTATAAAATATTATAATAAATAAGTTTATAATAATGAAATAGTTGTCAGTTTTATTGATTAAAATAAGAATCACAGTAGTACAATACGCAAAACAAAATTAGGGTCAATGTATTTTCTGTATAATGTTTGACTTTATCTAGTGATACTGTGTATATTTTTCTTGAGTTTGTCATTCATGATAGTAGATGCCCTACTATATAATCAAATATTTAACATTCTTTCAGTAAGTAAATAAGTGCTTTTGATATCTTGATACCTCTATTTATAGTGTATTTGCTTCGTATATTGGAGTAAGAGTAATTATGTTTTTGTAATTGTTATTTAATACCGTAAATAACAAAAAATGATTTGTTAGTATTCTGAAATACTACAAAATAAGAATTTTATCAATACAAAACAAAAAGCGTTTAAATATAAGATTACATTTAATCTTTCTTTTAGATATTTACAGATGGAATCACAAATAAACTTATAGGAGTGTGGCATTCTGGTTATTATAATGATATGGTTTTAGTTAGAATATATGGGCATAAAACAGATTTGCTAATTAATCGTAAAGATGAAACAAGAAATATTCGAGTAAGTACAGAGTTAAAAAATATTTGGATATAAAAACATAAGAAAGATACAAGATATGTTCCTTTTTTTTCAACAGATATTGAATAAAGCAGGTTTTACACATTCTCTTTATGCAACATTTAATAATGGCTTAGCTTATCAGTTTATTGAAGGTAATACGCTTACAACAGAGACAATCAGAAAACCTAATATATATACATTAATTGCTAAAAGAATGGCTCAAATGCATAAACTTAATCCTGAAAATGATGAAATATGTAAACAAGCTTGTATTTGGAATAAAATGGAAAAATTTATGGAAATAATGCCAAAAGCATTTTCTGATGATGACAAACAAGCTAGGTAATATGACATAATGGAGATTATTATACTTAATTTACATTATGTTTATTATTTATTCTCACTTTTAGGTTTCAGAAACTTATCAAACCATTTGGTGTATTGAAACAGAATTATCAACTTTTGAAAGAGGAACTTACAAAATTAAATAGTGAAGTGGTATTTGCACATAATGATTTACTTTTAGGAAATGTTCTTTATAATCAGAAAGAAAATTCTGTCACCTTTATTGATTTTGAATATACTGCATACAATTATCAAGCTTATGATATAGCAAATCATTTTGCTGAATTTGCTGGTAATTTAATTCTGTTTTATACATAATTTCACACAAAATATATTCCTAATTTGCTTATTTAACACAAACACAATCTACTATTTTATGTCATTTATTTTAGGTATTGACAATCCTGATTTTTCTCTGTATCCTGAAGAACAATTGCAAAAGACGTGGCTAAACATATATCTTCAGGAATATAATAATGTAAACTATGTACCTGAAAATGAACTTAATTTATTGTATGTGCAAGTAAATAAATTTGTTCTTTTATCACATTTTTTTTGGGGTTGTTGGGGACTCATACAAAGTGAACATTCAACAATTGACTTTGACTTCTTAGAGTAAGTATTAAAATTTAATAAATAAATGTACAATGAAGTATAAAAAACATTCTATTTTTACTAATATCTTTTATTAGAATTACCGATATTATGCAATTATAGTTATCAATCTGTATAATATTTTATAGGTATGCTGCTATACGATTTAATGAATATTTCAAGTGGAAAGAAGAATTTCTTAACATGAAACTGTAAAATTTAGAATTGTTATATTTTTAATGTTTGTTACATTTTATGGCTTTAACATTCCAACACTGTTGTTTTTTGTTTTTGTTGTTTTATCAAAGTAACATTTCCACATATGCATTATGCCACTGATATTTTGTTATGTAAACAACCTTTATTTATAACAATGTACATATACAAGATTGTTATAAATATCAAACAGTATTACCAAAAAAAAGAAAAAATATATATGTATACATCACTAAAATACTATATGGAAGAAAGATGCTGTTTTTGTAATATAGCCTTTGAAGTTTAACAATGTAGATAATTTATTTCTGAATAAAAATAGCTTTATTTAGTCACTAACCTCCTGGTCCATGTTTTTAACGTTTAAAATCCTGAAATATATGTTCCGTTTTGTTTTACCACTTCAATATTTGCAAACACATTTGAAGCAGTCTGAAAATTTTAAATGTATTTAACATCAGTCAAGCGATGTATTGTTAATAGTTAATAACGTCATTTAATTGGTAATTTTCTAAATTTCGCGTAGTGTTCACATTTATAAAATGAAATAAAAATTATTTGCTAGTAGCTGTAAGATTTCTCTGTTATACAATTTCAAGTAAGTTATTTTTTGTATTTGTAGATGTATATACGAAAAAGTCGGTCAATTGACTAGCAAGTATGTTTTCGTCTGGGGTGATCACCGTGATCACGTACGCATCTGCACGCACCTACAATAAATCAGTGTTTATTTTTAGTAGGAACTTCGAAGATTTTCGGGAATACTTGTAAATACGTGTGATTATAGTTAAAAAATGTAGAATTTTATCTTCTAATCTGAATGTGAAGAATAATTTAGAGCAATATAAACGGAACCTCTGAATATTGCTATTTAAAACTACCTGTTTACACGGTGTAAAACTGGAACGTATATAAATTGTATATTCGACAGATCCACGAGCTTCGGTAATTCGTTTACTTCGCATCTAAGTGTGTGAACCTGTCATAGTATATCAGTCAACATATGACACGAATCACATAATAGACAAATTAAACATAATCACCGGAAAGTAAAAAGCTTTTTGACGAGGTGTTTCTCTTTAATCAAACAAAAACAAAATATTTCAGATTTAATAATAGCGCGAAACTTAGAGCAGTAAAACGATCGACTTCTTAAGCAAAACCTGTACCTTGGATTGTTCTATTTCAATTATTTCTAAAAACTTCCCGATTTTAACTTCGATAGCTGAAAGTTATCGTGAAAAAGGTCCTATATAGAAATATATTTCATACAGTTCGAGGAATACCGAGTGAATTGTGTGTACGAGTCCCGGTATTGTGAAACAGCGTGCTGGTTTTTTAAAGTTTCTTTTAGAAAACGTATACTGATTGTGTAAGATGCATATTGCATGCAAATGTTTAAACGTGTCCATAAAATCCAGGGGCACTGAACTGCAAAAGGTCAACATTAATGATATTGAGTTGTCACCTGAGGAACAGAATGACAGTTTTTTTCGTCAAGTGAGATTTTTTTATAATTCTTATATGTATTTGCACCAATACATACTATTTTTATACAGTTTTACTTGTGAATGATGCAATCATTTTTTGTTTTATTTATGATAGCTGGATCCATATCTGGACCCAGAGTCAAAGTGTTTTAAAAGAAGCTAATATTTTACATACTTCTTGCATTAAATTTATCACTCTTTTCAGTGATAAATATTATTTCTTTCTAAGTTATATAGTTTTTGATATAACAGTGTAAATATTAGACCTTATCTTCTTCTAAGATTTTTGCATCTAAAGTTTGAAAAGTGTAATTCAATACATTTTGGCTCTAAGGTCTAAATATAAATAATTAAATAAATTGTACAGTAATTTATAATATTTAAAATGATAGTATTTACTTTAATGGTATGTATGTTTATTATATTTGAAATATCTTTCTTGTTCAAACTAGAATCTTGCAACTATATCAGAGCTTGAAGGTATTACCAAGGAACAACCAGGTTTAGTGGAGATAAGAAATGTGGGATCATGGATTATTCATCGTTGTTACAATTGTTCTATGTACACACATGCTGTGCACAGAGACCATGGTGCTGCCTTAGTTCTTATTAATACTGACATTGTTGTAAGTATTAAATTGTTGGTAAGTGTTATGGGTACCTCAGATGATCAATATATTTAAAATAAAAGTTATAGCTGATTGTTAAGTTAAATTTAGATTTATATTGTCAATTACAGTTCTGTATACACTTTTGTTATATTATAATTTTTTATTGTAGACTTCACCTGAAGAGATAAATAAATTAAGGTCTAATCCAGATTATAGTCCAGTATTTAGAATAATAATTGCTCATAGTTCTTTGGACGAACTTGACTATCTTCAACAACCTACTAAATTTTCTGGTAAATTTAGACAAAAGCTTAATAATGAATAAAAATGTATTTGGTCTTTTTAGGTGTACATAGTATTATATCTTTTATGTTACCTATTTAGTGTCACAGTTACCAAACAATGTGCAAGTAGCTTTGGGTGGACTCCAACAGCAGCTTGAAGAAGCTGTTCAACGGCAATCTGCAGAAATAGAGAATAAAATTCGTGCTTTCACAACAGAACAATATCAATTATTAGAGCAATTCCGTGAAAGAGCTCATACTGAACATAGATTATTAACAAGGTTTTATTGAACACCATATATTTTTGTTTTAGTCCTATTTAAAATTCATTTTTGTGACCTTTTTGAATATGTGAATTTTTCAGATTAATATGTAAAGGGGAAGAAACAAATAGATTAACAAACAATATAGAAACTCCCCCTACAACCCCAGAGAATTTTACAAGTCTAACTACCTCTACAACAAATACAGTAAATACATCACAAGTAATATCAAATGAAACAAAAGTGATCACTGGTCCTAATATTAAACAAAAAACTGGTGCTAAATATTTTCCAAATACTCTTGTTGTAAGTTCACATGTTTAAACATAGTTATTAAAAATTTTGAACAGACATTATTTATTAAAGTATAATATTTTATAGAATGGTAATGTAGATAAAAAAGACAAATTGTATATATACCCTAAAGAACCAACCAGTTTTGACACCGAAGCTTTATTTCCTTTGGAAGGAGTGGAAGACACTGTTCCTAATGATCAAGTTCAATCTTCAGAAGAAGGATCTGATACAGATGGTTTGTACGCGTAATTGTTAATTTAAATTAAAAAATTTTAAATAATACTATTAACAATTCTATTTAGATTCAGGTCAAGATGAAGGTATTCACATGCCAAGAGGACAAAGAGGTGGACATCCTACATTAGCTAAGTCATTACCAGTTAGTGTTCCATCTTTCCCTACATTTGTGCGTAGAACAGTTCAAGATCAAGATGATGATCAGGTATTACTATTTACTTTCTTACTCTAAAATTTTATTACCTTTATTGGCATTGCAGTTATTGATAATTTTATAATATGTATTGCACATATATATTATAAAATTAAATTCTTTATTGTAAAGAATGTAATACTATTTCAGTTATCAAGAGATCCACATGATCCACATAATATTCGAGCTTCAATTAAGGCTCTAGCTAAGAGCGTCCACGGTGATACAGTATTTGGAGACTTGCCACGTCCTCGTTTCTCTACTCAAATCTGACTTTATAAGAATTTCAAAGAAAGAGAATAAGTTTACGTTAAAAAATTATTACACATATAAAGTACCTATTATCTATAATTGTCTTTCAGTTAATACTACAAAAGGTTAATATAAACAAAGGAAGAGTAAACATAGAAACTACAGAGATATTAATATTTCACATGCTTTGAATATATTTTAGAGTAAAAAAAAAGACTACTTTGAATATTAATTTTGTTAGTTTGTTGAGTTATAAAAGAAAAAAATTTTCATACCTGCGTATATTGAGGCTATACTATATACATAAATATGCTACATATATATTTGTTACTAACCGTGTAGTGTGTGTAGGAAATACAAAATTGTTTATTATTGAAATAAGACTGCGGGATAGGTATTGGGGAAAATAATAACTATAAAATCTCAAAGGTTATTAATACTATTAATGTGACGTTCTTGTGTTTTCTGTATCCAAGGCGATCACTTTTATGCCATCTCTACTCGACCGGCATCTGTTATTTTCTCTGCATGAGCCAGAATCTTTGAAAAATTTCTCTCTCAACACTCGCTCGAAAATTGTAATTTAAAAGACTTCAAAAATCAACGCAACGTGAGATTTATGATGCCATATCTGAAATAAAACCGTACTAGAAACAAATTAAGGGGCAAGGAAAGTTTTTTATGTATCAATTAGTAATTAAGATATTAAAGTGATAATTTTTCTCTAATAATTATTTTTACAGTACGCCGTTATCATTATATATAAACCAATACATTACAAATTATCATTGATTTAATAACAAATTATTGTTACTGTTTTTAGGTAATTTGCAGTTTTTTGAATTAAAAAAAAGTTTGTACTCTGTTGTTTAAAAACTGAATTTTTTTTCTATTTGTTTGAAAAGTTGCCAATATTTGGTCTGAACACAAAGTTAAAGTTACATACATATGTCTATATATGTTATAAAAAAGTATCTTGTTTGCAGGAAATCTTTCCGTTTATATATTGTTTTTGTAAAACTCTACATACGTACGTATGTTGATATACGAATATGTATATAAAAAACATTAATTTTTTAATAATTAAAAACAGATATAAAAACTGGTTTACGTACGTTTTTGTACAAATATGATTCAATAAATTTTTTTACTTTACTTTTATATTTTGAATTTACTTCGAGCCACTCATTGTATTAGTTTTTTTTATAAATCTCTGTGATTAATTTCCTAGAATTTATAATTTTTGTACCAATTAACATAGTATCATGTGATAAACAAATTACTGATTAGAGATAATGAATTAGTACAAAAAAGTATGTGGCTTTTCTAATCATGTAATGCACGATTATAAAAATATTCATGAATGTTTTATCGATTAAGGTGTAAGATTTAAGTGCTTCAGAGATGTCAGAAATTCGTTATATGAAATATAAAAATTAACTGGAGGAAATAAAATGTTGCTTTGTAAAAACTATAAAAAAATGTATACTTGAATTATAACCAATGTTTTTATTATAGGTTTATTACACAAAATTTTATACACCTATTCCTTTATACTTTATATATAGAAAATACAAAAAAGTAATGTTAAGAAATTGATAATCAGATTTAATACATTACAAAATTTATTTCCTTTTGAAGATGGTTCATATGAAACAATAATATTGCGGTAGTTCACAAAAGTACACTGTACAATATGAAATGTCACGTAATTAATTACAAACTTCGTAAACGATCTTTCGTTCTCTTAATCGTGATTAATTTTATTATAAACAATACTGTGACATACAATATGTATGTTTATTCAGACAGGATCATGAATTAATTAAAAAATTAAATAATTTCAGTTTGCAATTAACGTCTGTATATGCAAGTTATGAATGTTATGAACATAATTTAAATATTATCAATGATTAATCGTGGCTTTATTTTTTACTGCAAGTTCCATTTGTGCAGCAGCTACAGATTTCATACCCTCCTGCACAGCAGATAAATTTGCTTTCCAAGCTGCAAGTAAATCACGTAACTGCATCCATTGTGGTCGACCAAATGTTCTATGCATGGTGCTTGAAATAAGAACTTTACGACCTGCTTGATCCATACGAGCTCTAACCAGTTTCGTCTTCAGTACTGAAATAATAAAGAAATCATTCAATTCTCGATTGTGATCTAAACCCTGCATAAAATACATTTAACGTATAATATAATTGTCGAATACGCTCGATAACTTAGTAAAAATGAACTTTTTACCAAGCCAGTACTGATTCTTTTATATACCCTGCATATGATGTCTCCATCTTATTGACTAAATCAGGAGTATTTTTCTTTTTATACAGGGTAAATACACGTTAAGCAAACTTTCAAGAACTTCAATTATTGTATGTAACAACTTACCATCAATAATAAAACTTTCTACTTCATCTTCAGTAATTTGTAGTTCTTCTTGAATTGTGTCAAATGACATTTCAGGATTTGTTTCTGCCAATTGCATAAATGTGAGTAATCTCATCTTTTTCATATTTTGTACATGATTCAATCCTGAAAGTTAAATTTAACATTAATTATCTGAAACAAAATGTTTACAATTATTCATTAAATGATTACATACCAAGTTGGTGTTCCACAAATTCCTTATGATGTTGATAGAAAAGTAAATATGCGGGTAGTTTGTCTTGGACAAATACAAGGAGGAGATCATGAATAAGTTCTCCTTCTAAGAACCTTACAGGTTTTAATGCTAATAACGGGTCAAGCAGGAAAGTATTTGGATCTGCCAATGCAGCCAAAATACAACGTTGTGCATCTTCCCTGGCAGCAGAAGCATTTTCAGCAGTATAAGTACCTAAGAGTTCAACCATAACTGCAGCAGCTTGTTCCCTATTAGAGTAATTTTTTATTTAAATATCATAATTATTATGTAATACATTGTAAAAGAAATTTTAATTACCCCTGTTTACAACTTAGCAGTACTTCATGAAGCAGTCGCAGCAGCTTTTGCATTTGTTCATTTGATGGTGGGAATGATGCAAATTGTTGCTTCAACTGATCTATTCCACTATATACTGCTTTAACTTGATCAACATTACGAGCAATTTGAACTAAGTGATAATACACGTGATATCTCATTGGAGAATCATCTGAAAGGGATTGAAATAATAGCCACAATCTGAAAACATGAATTATGACATCATATAAAAAATATGTTAAAATATTTACAGAACAAACAAAAAAATTTGTGCTACAAACTTACGCTTTTAAACAAACTAAACCAAATTTATAACCAGGAGCTTTTGTTAACTTTTCACAAAAGGCTAATATTAAATTTTCAGCTCGTTCTGTAGGAATCTAAAATAACATATTTGAATTTGTTTAGAGGCTACAAATTATACAAATATATAAAAATTTCTAAAGCAATGATACATACCACTATCAAAATCGATACAATATCATTTAAAACAGTTTCTATTTCAGTTTCATTTCCTTCTTTAAAACAGGCCTCGCATACACCGATAATTTTGTGTAGGTCATCTTCTATACCTTTAGGAGACTTTTCTTCGCTTATTTCAGCGCCCAAACTTTTAAAATATACCCTTAGTTCCTGTGCCTAAAACGAATAATAAAATGTAAAATATTTATTTTACGATAATACTTATTCGGAAAAAGATTTTGTACACTTTAAAACAAAACATTCATAAAAGAAAGATGTTTCTAAAAAATTAATATAACCTATGCATCACAGATGACTGTACTAAGCCAATTTATCGTGTATTACAGCTTCTTATGAATGACATTATAAGAAATGATTCGTGTAATATAATATAATTAGTATTCACCTGATCTTCTAAGGGCAATTCCATAAAAATTGGTGGAACCTGCATTTTGATAAGTACCACCACGTTTTCTCTCAACGTTACGTTAGAAAAGAGAGGATCATGGAAGCCCACTACGCGGTGATTAGGAATCTTCTTATCCGATCGAGTTACGGAAAATAATTTTCTGTTGTTAGTTTCATTACCATCGAAAGATATCGTGAATACTTTATCATTTTCGTGTCACATCCTAGCATATTAACTGAGACTGTTTAAGTATTACAGCACTCTTAGTACGTTATTACGAGCAGAGAGTAAGAGTGTCGCCTCTGGTCTACTCTGTGATTGCGAGTTTAGTTCTTTCACTGCTAGATGGCTGAGAATTTCAAGGTCCATAATGTAAGTACATGAGCCGCCTATGTCAATTCTACTGTGCATGCAAAGCGCAATATTTTGGCACTTTGGCGACGTAGTATGGTTCCTGACGTAATATGGTTCCTGAGGCATTTAGAAACAAATTTCTATAAGGGTTTGATGCGTTTTGATGCCTAATAAAGCCAGGAAATCAATTTCTGTCGTATTCGGTCCAAAACGGTACAGGTGGCGCCATCTAGCGACGAGCGGCGGAACTACGAAAAACTAAAATTTCGATTTTCTCGATAATTAGCGAACTTTGAGTACTTCTGGGACTCAGAAAGTGCTATGTGATCGCATCAGAAGTAAAATAATGCAATAAAAGCTACCTAAAGGCTTTAATAAAGAAAATAAAAAAAATGTCATTTTATGGAGAAAATTTGTGGCGCCATCTAGCGGCGAAACTGCGAACTAAACTGAAAAAACGTATGTCCGTACACGCGTTAAGGAAAAATATAAAAAGTAATATTTCGCAACTTTGACGACCTAGTATACTACTTTAGACAAAAAATGAATAACTTATTCAACAAAAATTGCTTTAAAATGTCTAAAGAAGCATACTACGCCGTCAAAGTTGCGAAATATTACTTTTTATATTTTTCCTTAACGCGTGTTCGGACATACGTTTTTTCATTTTAGTTCGCGGTTCCGCCGCTAGATGGCGCCACAAATTTTCTCCATAAAATGACATTTTTTTTATTTTCTTTATTAAAGCTTTCAGGCAAGCTTTATTGCTTTATTTTGCTTCTAATGCAATCACATAACACTTTCTGAATCTCAGAAGTACTCAAAGTTCGCTAATTTTCGAGAAAAACGAAATTTTAGTTTTTTGTAGTTCCAACTTTCACCGCTAGATGGACGCCAATTTTTTAGTCCATGTTTTGGACTATTTTTCTATTTTCTTTTCTAGCACTCTGAGGAGGTTCTTGTGGCATAATATAGGTTCTAGAGAGGTCACAGATTGTTTTCTGACCCTCAGAAGTACTCAAAGTTCGCTAATTTTCGAGAAAAACGAAATTTTAGTTTTTCGTAGTTCCAACTTTCACCGCTAGATGGACGCCAATTTTTTAGTCCATGTTTTGGACTATTTTTCTATTTTCTTTTCTAGCGCTCTGAGGAGGTTCTCGTGGCATAATATAGATTCTAGAGAGGTCACAGATTGATTTCTGACCCTTGTTTTCACATATTTAACCGTCGTGGTACATTCGTGTACATTATGACATGATACCAAGAATCATTTATCTATAACATAAAGAGCGCAATAAAACCCATTACATATAAAAATGTTATATTTCATTATTTATTATTATTTAAAAATTTTATATTTCATTATTTGAAAATTCTATTATTTATCAATTTCGGAAATCATGTTCGCCAACGTAGGAATATTACTGCGGTTGTCCTTCCTTGTATTCTTTAGAGCCCAGATCTGCATTCGAAAGCAGCACTAATTTGCCCCAAAGCAAAGATCAAGATCTAAAAACCTGCCCTGTGTACCTACAAGAATACCTCATGAATTTTAAAATCGAAACAGGAATTGTCCACTTGGTTTATCAAAGAACTGCCTGTACAAATGTTTGATTTGAATAACAGAATGGACTCGGAAAAAAACGTAAGGGAAACGGATACACGGCTTAAAACGAGGGAAACAAGGCACATGGAAATAGGGAGGAAAACAGTAACTGAACGGGTGCAGGAAAAAAGCGTGACAGAGGTGGCGGCTGGTAGGATGTTCCATACGCAACTACGAAGTAGACTACGGACGTTATTAACACTATGCATCATATACCCGCACCAGACGGAGGTGTAACGGAGCTTTTTATTGTCCTGAAGATAAATCACGACGAAATACTGGAACTTGACGATTCTTCGCTGCTTGCTTTGTTATAAGCTTGTTAGCTACGCAGATAAATTTTAACCCGTGGCGTTTTATAGCGATGTTATTTCTTGTTAAGTTAAACGTGTGTAATAGCTAGTTCAGCGTTTTACACGATGACTGCAACGATTATGTTACATGATCTAGTGTTAATCTGTGTAATCTGTATATTTTAATATTTATTTATTCGATGGAACATGAGGAGGATGATGAGGGTAGTATTGTGGATGCACAGATTAAGATTGAATGTTTAGGTAACATTGGATGAAGATTGAATGTTTAGGTAATTCATAGAAAATAAAGAAAATATAGAAGCAATATTTAGACTTGTAAATGAAGGAATTTTCTAAATTAAAAAATATACGATTTCCAAAGTCGATAATTCATAAATATGAATTTTTTAACCTTCTACATTTGGAAATTTATACCTTTCTACATTTAGAAATTTCTCACTTCCTACATTCAAAAGTTAGAAGAAGAAGATAGTTTCTCAAATACTGAAATTTCTACCTTCCTAAATCTGGAGATTTCTACCTTCACAAACTTTATTCAGAATTGAATTTCGAGTATAATGACTCTATTTACCACTCCCAGTGATTAACGTAATTTTAGAGGTATTTCGAATGGCACCGCTGATTTAATTCCGCAATTATTTGACTAAATTTGCGGTGCCATTGGTGCCAATCACCGTGTGTCGATGGACGAATTAAAATAGACTTCCAGCGATGAACCTATGCACGTACAAAAAATTAATGTTTCCCTCGGAAATAGAATTCCATCGACTCTCTGGGGTTCGTTTTCCTCATCTAATTTTGTAATTCAAGATATTTGTGGGGGAACGGAACAACGGTATATTTATCACGTCAGTTATTGGCTATTGAAATAAATACATACTGTGAAAACTGTAACTTCTTTATAAATAAAAAAAAATGAAAGATAGATAAGAAATACTTTGAAGTATTACTTTAAAATTTTTTTCTAATTTTTATACGTAAGTGGCATAATTTATTTGTCTATTTATAAGTGAAATCGGTATATGTAATTCAGTGATACTTTCTAAATGTTGTTTTTATTTTTGAATAAACAATAAGTCACAATGCTATGATTTTGAATAAATGCATTTTTATTTTAATTAAGTCTGGATATACGCAGCGCGTCAAAATGGCGAATCTTAAATTCCTCAGTTTGAATTACAGAAATAATTAACATTCTCTTGTCAAAATATATGTTGACTTTCGTCAAAATGAAGAGTTGCATAAATTAATTTGTGTATTTCTCATTTGTCATTCTTCATGTATTTTTAATTTAAAAATAACTGCACATCCTCCGCAAACCCAGTATTAACATTGAAATACATCTACATACGAAACATGCAAGTATATTTGAAATATGTAATTAATAGTTTAAAAAATAATGTCAAAATGTAGAGTAGCTGCATAAATTAATTTGTGTATCTCTCATTTGTCATCCCTCATGTATTTTTAATCTAAAAATAACTGCACATCCTCCGCAAACCTAGCACTAACTCTGAAACATCTATACATATACGAAACATGCAACTATATTCAAAGTACATAATTAATAGTTTAAAAAATAGTAAAAAAATATTTTACAAATAGTATAAAAATAAAAAAGAGGTACAAAGCTTTAATATCCCTATTCCGAATTAAAAATCTCTCACCACCGTTTGTATCGCACTGCACATCGATTCGTGGTGTCCCATCGTTCGCCTTACTTCGATCAATTCGGAGATTGGCGGCTATTGGAATTGGAAATGAAATTTGGTAGACGTACAAATGGAGACTAGCAGGCGCTAACACGTAACGCCGTTATACCAGGAGAAATGTATGGTATGCTGGGCAATCGATTCTACTAGAACCGATTTATGTTTACGGTCACTGGAATATCTACTGACAGCGGAGAATCGTGGTGCAAAACACATATGGTTAAAATACAAATGTAGCGCAAGACGGTCGAAAAGCATAAACTTAAAGAAAATTTTCTTCACAAGTGATATTTTTGATCATGGTTATAATTCGATTTTTGGCGTCGTAAAAATTTATATTTAGAATTGTCTGAAGTCAAGAAATCTAATTTTGATATTGAACACTTGTTTTAACTCAAAATAGTGGCTTAACATCTTTCTGAAATTATTACAAGATTTCTTAAATTTTAAAAATGTGATCTTGAAGTTTTACAAAGTAACTAAAATGAAACTGAACGAATATTTTTTGACAAATGCGTCAAGAAGAAAATATTGCTAGTTGGCAGTTCTTTGAGAAGATACGACATAAAGTTATAAATATGAAGAAATGTTTTCTATGATTTCATTAAATATTTACAATCTATTTCTGCTACTACTTATAACAAAATATAAGAATGTACAGAATGTACCACACATTCAATACAACTAATACATCTCCATCAAAATTATACATAACTCAATTCTTAAACCACGATATTTATATTTCATAATTACGTCCATCGATTTTGATCAATTTCAGTCCACAAGCTGCACGGATCCAGACTTTCAATAAACCGAATCGGTGCTCTTTCTCTATGAAATTTATTCAACAATCAAAACGCTTCAGCATTTAAAATCGCGAGAGTGGACCGAAGCGATCAGCTAAAATGGAGGAATAATGAAATTCCACGAATAACATTATACGATCGTTTGCAAAAATAATGGAAGGAGTTTGCATAAATTTGCGTTGAACGCATCTCCGGTGTTAGTTGACAGGAATTGTCTGGGATATCACATACCGTTAGCAGACAAGCTGCAACAGATAAGGATACGATCTTCCGTTGGTTTCTCGACAAGGTAAATGTAAATTTGGGTAAGTC